CCTTGAGGACAGTCACCAATTTGATGTATTTCTCCATATAGTCGATGGACCAGCCGTTGGTGAACTCGAGGACAATGCCATCGAAACTGTATTTCTTAAGGAAAGCCATTGAGTTCTTCGAGAACAGGGAGGGGTTGTCGAGTGCGGCCACGATCTCCGAGGCGTGAGTGAACCCACCGATGGCTACCAGCGACTTGTCGGTGCCTTTCTGTTTAGGCAACTGATCGAACTGGTCTGCTCGATGGTAACAGGGTCAATTAGAAAATCGTAATTTATTTGTTATTTATTAAACTTAAAATGATTAGGCTTATTTATAAAAGTATCTATTCGTTGACTTTTAAGCGTAAGCATTATTTTGAATTAATTATTTATGATTTACGTTTTATATGAACTAGTAATTAATTTTACATAGTTAATTTAATGCTCACAGTAATATTTGACCAAGGTTTCATCGAGAATCTTGATATCAGCATTAGTGTCTACACCCACGTAGCCGTACACTAAATGTGTGCATGCTGTACTGTCTATTAAAATTTTTTTAATGAATTAAATGATTGTTTATATAAATATATTAAAGACTTACCAATATCTTTTATATTCATTGCACCATGGCCATGACTAGGATAGGCAACTGTGTATAGAAATGAAAACAAAGTGATCCATGTAGTTTTGGTTTAAATATTAAATTATTTAATATTATAATACTTACACCAACTCTCATAAAAACAGACCACTTTTGGGTCTTTAACACAATGTGTGAGTCCTATACACAGGATTACTGAACACAATATAAGGCTTATATTAACCATGGTTAGTTAATAATATAGTTTGACACTACAAATAAATTAAATATACTTGTATGACAAATAAAATATAAAATTATAATGTGTGGACTATTTTTTGAAAATCTTTATATACTATTTTGTAAATATTATATCCGGGTTAGAATCCTAGTAAATAATCAATAAGTTATATGTTTTTATAAAAATTACTCTCTGTATATATTTTATATGAAATCTAAGATTTCTTTATAAAGTATAAGAGTTTTTAATAAGAAATAATAATTATATCGATTTCATAGAATTAGGAAGGTCATATCAGGTATTGATTATACAAGTACATTTTTAAAACTTATAATATTATCGTACTTAATATTGTTGTATCTCACTAGAAAACATAAGTACCTGATAATAATATTCAAATCCATTGTTTAATGTATCATTTATCTGATGTTTATAAAATGTAACCAGGGTGTTGTTTATTGTCTAGAGTGATCTTTCTAAATATAGAAATGTCACTTTCTATACAATTTTAGTAAGTTTTTAAATTAATTTATAAACAATTTCTAAATTAACACACGTTGGTGGCTAAAATAATTTAAAAATTTTAGATTAAATTCTAGTGTACAATTAATATGTTTTATTATTACAGGGTCACAATTAATTTAAAGTACAATAATACCTTGCTTATAAATTAATATTTTGGTACATTCGGTATTTCATAGAAATTACAGTTATTACATATAATCTGTGATATGATTGTTATGATAGCATCATGGTCATTTCTTTATAAAATATTGTTATATTTTTTCAAAAAACATAGTACATGTTAACCGTACCTATTTTGGCTAATACTCTACTTTTTTTTAATCAAGGTTACATTTTGTTACTTTCCGTGAATTTTGTGGTTCTTTACTATTAACTGTATATCAGTATATTTATTAATATTAACGGTGCATAGTGATAACAATTATTTTATGCTTGCTGCATACTATTAAGGTTATACCCTTTTCTTGTACTTGGCGCTAGTGGTAATAAAGTAATAGTTTTTGCAAACGATTTTCAATAAACAATTTATTAACCTATGGCAAATACTTTGTAGGGTTGCCAAACATCCTCCAATTGGAGGATTGTCCTCATAAAATAGTCCTCCCGAGAGTCTCAGGAGTTAGGTTAAGTATAATCGTTATTATCTCTTAGAAATTACAGTCATTTTGTGAAATTTTTCATATGATAATTATTATAAGAAAATGATTATATTTATAAAAATATTAATACATCAATACATAAAAAACAAAATAAATGGGAAGAAATATTGCCAAAAAAGTTAAAAAGTTAACTTAATAAATATTTTAATACCTGATTTATTATAATAGTATATATGCTACTTAATTAACATTGTATAAATTTGTTACCTATACTCATAAAATTATGCCAGTATATAATATATGAGTCAATCAAACTTTTTAACTTTCCGGTAATATTTCATCTCATTTATTCCGTTTTTATGGACTGATATATGTTTTAAAAAACATGCTCCATGTTAACCGTACCTTAGAAACTAGCGTACCTACCGTACTTTTCATTCTTAATCAAGGTTACATTTTGTCATGTTTTACGAACTGTGTGGCTCAATAGGATTTAGTGTATTTCAAAATCATGATAAGACTGATTTTTGCTTGCTATATAAAAGGTAACCGACTTAGCTTTAACGATTTTCATGTATTTGGTGTTAATGGTAGTCAGTAAATAATAGTAAATGTATTAGTACAGATTATAAATAAATGGTATGAGACAACTTGTTAATTTTTAACTTATAAACTTATAAAATTTAAGATTAAAAATTATGATTAAAACTAGGCCTATACATTTTTCAAACTATAACTAAAATTAGTATCATGTTACGGTACCATGGTAGATTATGCTTTAATATAATGTCATTTTATTACTTCCAAATAATGCAAAAGTTATTATTTTTAATAAAAATCAATTTTGTAAAAAGTATTTTAAACTTTCATTTAATTGTGTTCGTTTTGACATACTAAACACCTTGGTGACTATAGTATTTCAATAAAAATCTTTGACCAACGAGAATGTCATAGTCATCGGTCACAGCAGAGTAGCAGGGTAAAAGCTAAAATATACTAAATAAAGACGAAAGTACTGTATAAGCTATAAATTGAGGCATAAACCAACTGGCTAAGATTTCTAATTTTCAAACAGTAATCTTTTGATAATCAAGAATCTCTATAGAAATATCAATGAGAAAATTTTTTTGCTTGCTGTATACTATTAAGGTTATACCTTTTTCTTGTATTTTGTGCTAATGGTAATAAATTAATAGTTTTGAAAACGATTTTCAATAAATAATTTATTAACCTATTACAAATATTTTGTAGGGTTGTCAAATATCCTCCAATTGGAGGATTGTCCTCCAATCGGTCCCACATAAAATAGTCCTCCAAAGGTTTCAGAAGGACAATGTAATGTCCTTGTCGATTTGTCAACATAATGCAAAATATTCATTTAATATTCAATTACTTTGTGAAAATCATGTAAATAACCTGCGAGTTTGTAGTCATTCTTTAAACAATTTATTCACATCTATTAGTATTACTAAAAATTAGTGTATTTAATTGTAATTGTAATTAGGTTTAAATTATTGTGTGGTCAGTTGAAGTAATAATATATAGCAATATTAGTAATTAAACAGGTTTCTTGTCCTAATGTCCTAATGGTCAGGCTCAATTTTGATTATTTGTCCTCCCGGACCATGAAATTAGTTGGCAGTCCTAATTACAAACAATGTTCAATACAAAATAATAGTAATAGTCAATTTATTATAAATCTTAAGTCTAAAATCCTATCATTAAAATTAGGTCTATTATAAAAAAAATTATAATGTAAATATGATATTAAGTATAACTTTATATTTTAAATCCACTAGGATAATAATAGTATAAATAGTAATAACATACTTTTAAAATATCTTAGTGAATTATAATTATATTAGGCTAGTTAGATTTAATTAATAAAGTTATATAAACACAAAAATATAGTTGATTTAAATACAATTTTTATTCGCAAATAATTTTATTTTACATTAAACATGAAATTAATTAATTTAATTTACTTAATTAAAATAAATAACTTTGATTCATTTTAGATTTTTTAGCCATGTACCTTGTTTACAATAAACATTCAGTTAGTTTTTGTTGAGCCCCTCGTTGACAGCGGTGAGGAGGGGGTGTTTCTTAGTCGTTACGTAACCGTTAAAGTCGTCGTAATTTATGGCCCTAACGGTGACCCCTCCGAAGCCCTCAGTCGTCGCCCAATTGGTCTTAGCCTTAATGGTCGCCTCGTCCTCAGCGGTAGCCCATAGGTCATCCTTATAAAAGTAAACTGAGCCAGCAACCTTGTCCTCCTCCATGATCAAGCCACCATCTTTCATTTTTAACATCAACTTGTTTACATAAATAATGTTGGTTATATTTTTAAATTGGGCAATGTTTGTGTTTATAATTTATTATTATAGAATATAAATACCTCGTTCCAGCCAATTAATCCGGATGAATTAGTGAATGGTTGAGCAGGACCCTTATCACTAGCTTTGGCACCGACGCTGTGGTCAGTAGGGTCAGCGAGTTTCCAGGTGTGTCCATAAAATGGGAGTGATATCTAATCGTATATTAAAAATAATTTTTAATATAAGCCCTATAGAAATATGTACACACCAGTAGCTTGCTCATTTGTGCCTTGTCAATTTGGTCACCCCATATTGTCATGGATGCTTGCTACATTATATACGCAATATTAATAAATTATATTTCCATCATATTAGTTAAATAATTATTATACTGTATATTTCTATTGAATGTATCAAATACTGTACTTACGATATCAGTCAACGAGGCACCATGGCCAGTCGGGGTTTGCGGGGGACTTTCGTGCCAGGGTCCATTATAGTCAAAGGTGTTCACGGAAATAAAGTCCACTTGCCTATGTTAATGAATGTAAATTTATTAATTTGATTATATTGATACTAGGACTGTTGAGACTTTTAATATATCAGATATAATAAACTATTTAAACTAATTACTAGGAAACTCCTGCGAAAAGTTTTATTTAATAAATTTAAAAATTACTTAAATGTATAATAATTTACTCAGCACAAAATCTTCAAAACTTACTCGATCACTTTCTTGATTTCATAACCAGGGAGCTGGGCGGCCAACACGGAGCCCAACACGTATCCACTGGCCTTGAAGTCCTCCTTGAGGACAGTCACCAATTTGATGTATTTCTCCATATAGTCGATGGACCAGCCGTTGGTGAACTCGAGGACAATGCCATCGAAACTGTATTTCTTAAGGAAAGCCATTGA